GGAACCAGTGTGTGACAGGTGCTAGGCTTCAGGAGTTCCTCCCTGGGACTGCGGCTGGTGGGAGCTCGTGGCTCTGGGAGTGTCAGGAGTTCCCACCGTTGCTGCACACGGGAGCTGCCTGGAGGGCTTGTGCTGAGACTTTGGTGCCCAGAGTTCTCATGCATTTGTTCAGGGCTCTCCAGGTGATGCCACTGTGTAGTGAGGTTGAGGGCCCCTGGTCTTGGCGGGTTCTGAGCTCTCTGAAGGAGTGTTGCAAAATGCAGTCCTCCTGCATACTAGTTGCTCCCTGAGGTGTATCATTCTTTGTCCTCCTGTCCCCGGGGAAAGAAGCAGCTTAATAACAAAGCTGAGTTGCACAAAACACTGTGGAAACCAGTGCCACCTAAAGATGAATGTCCCACAGTAGTGTAAGACTTAGAATTTGCTGTGTGGGGCAAAGGTCGGAAGAGAATGGCAGGAGGACACCAGCTTGAGACAGCTGAGGACACTGGCACAGGCTGCGAGCCAGGAAGTCAGAGTTCTGTTTGGACTTTGTTGGAGGTAAGAGGTCACTACATCCAGCTCCTTGAGTGTGCTCAGGAGACACTGCATCCTACGGCACTGCTGTTTCTCATGTTCTCATGACAGGCAGGCCACCTGGCCTCAGGTTTCCTTGTGTCATGCCCACCACAGTACCACATGTGGCCACAGCTCTTCAGCTCCACGTGAGGTAGCCTAGACTTTCTGAAGTTCAGAACCACCAGAGGCTGACTGGGGTCCTGTGGTCTGTCTGCCTGTTGACCCTTCCCCTTCCCTGTGGGGCAGGGAAGGGAGTTAGTCTCATGAGGAGACCCCGGCTGCTGCCTCTCTCCATGATGCTCTTTCATCTGCAGTAGTCTTCAGGTGGTACATGCAGGGAGCCAGGGCTCGACATGCCAGGTGAACGCTCTACCTGGGCCACCCCCAGCCCATCTCCCAGCTCTCTGAGCTGGCCGTCAGGTATCCTGGGTGGCAGCATCCCTAGATGGACCACCACGCCCACGCTGGCCGTTCACTTCTGTGGCAGGCCTGGTGGCACGTGAGCCTGCTGTTGAGGGACTGCTGTGAATGTGTTTTTAGAGTGTGGTCCAGACTTGGCTGAGGGCGCTCCTCTCCCTCACACTGCGTTTCTGCCCTCTTTGAGGTTTTGTCCTCCATGTCCACCATGCAATGTGAGCACAGCAGGATGACCCAGGCCTACCGTGCTGCCCCTGGCTCAACTCCCTACGGTGGCGAGCCAGGGCCACACCTGCATGATTGCACCATGAGCTCCTGACCTGCGCTCCTGGGGAACGCGAAGGGGCAAGTTCGTTCTCTTTCTTCCATTTGCTTCCGAAGGCCAAAGCCCATTTGCTTAAACCAGGCTCCTTGTCTTGCTGTGCTGTCACCACGGGAGAGCCCCAAGCTTGGCTCTGTGGGAGCTCCAAAGCTCATGACTCAATGTGCTCTGGGTCCAGAATCAGCTCCCAACATGTCGTATAGAGAAACAGACAGCTTCCTTGTTTTATGAAGTGCTAACAGAAGAAAGCCCGTTAAGGTCCTAATGGCTCTCCCCTGCCACGCACCTTGGCCCTATGGCAGTGAACTGGCCGGAAGTAGCAGATGGGCTCAGCCCCCGCCCCCGTGGGCTTGTCGCACTGAGTCTGCATTTCCTGCTGAGCTTGACAGCCAATGGCCCCCAGTGTGTGGTGGTGCGTGTCTGGTGTTGTAGACACTGAGGCCTTTCTATAGAGTCTCCTCTGTCCCCTGTTGGTGATGCAACAGTGTGGACTTGAGACGCTGGTCCAGGAGCACCTTCCTCAGTTCCCCCTCAGTGCCACTGGCCGCTGATCTGTAAAAACTCTTCCTTTATCCCTGTTTCCTGATTAAATTTCAGTTTTCAGCAAGTGATTTCATTTCCTTTAAAGAAAATCTTACCTATTTGAAACACCTCAGAATTCTACCTTTTTTTTTTTTTTAAGGAAGAGGTGTTTTTCTTGCACTGAATAATAAATGCTAAATACTTTACTTCTCACTTGTCAGAAAAAGCTGGTGTTTGAGAAAAGTTTGCAGTTTTCCCCCTGCAGAATGGAAGGGTAACTTTGGCCTGTGAAGAGTGTCCTCGTTTTCCCCTGCTCTCATGAGCTGCCCACCTCCTGCCAGCTGACCACATGGATGTCACTGGCCACCACCACCACTCACAGCACCCTGACTGAGCTTTCCCTGTGTTCCCCAGGCATGGCCGTCCATTCTGTAGTCACAGTCCCTTTGAAGCAGGCCCTGTCACCCCATTTTACACATGAGGTTTAGTGACTTGCCCAAGGCCGGGCTCCCGCTGGGCTGTGCTCACCGTCCTGTCTGCATGCCGCCTGCCTCCCAGCACCCAGCCCTCACATTGCTCTTTCCTCACCAAATACCACATGGCCCCTCACTCGTCTGCCTCAACTCTATTCGCTGTCCTCCCCTTCACCCACCACCCTTCTCCAGGGAGGCCTTCCTTGAGCTCCTGCTCTGTGGTTTATTCCCTGGCTAAATAAATCAGGAGCCCAGACCAGCCTCCATTGGGCTCAGGGCTGCGTTGGCATCCAGGTCACAAGTTCTCGGGGACTGGCGAGGATCTGCTTTCAGTTCCTTACTGGCCCCTTTTGAGGGCTCCCCTTGTCTTCACCCCAGTGCCAGCAGCAGGCTCTTCCCCAGACTCTCCTGGTTAGTGTGCAGCGTGTCACTGGAGGAGCCTTGGAGGGGCACTTGGGAGGGGCAGAACCCAGGGTCTACCCTCAGAGTGGCCGACCACTACTCTTGCTGTGCTGAGACATGAGTTTCCTTTCCCCAAACTGTCCAGGACCAATAATTCTATAAAATATGGTCTGAAGTGAATTACCAGAAAAATAAAATATTTAAAAAGATAGAAATTGAAACCCAGATTTTATCACAAAATCCAGCAGACGTGGCCAAAGTATCAAGTTGCCAGCCATTTTGCAGCTCGTCCTCTCAGGGTCCACTGCTGTGAGCTGCAGTGGTCTCCAGACCCACTTGTTAGATGAATGGCCACAGGGAGGGCGCTGGCTTCTGAGCCTTATGTTCCCTTTCTGTACAGAGGAGCCGGTAATGCCTGGCCTTGCAGAGCAAATCCTCAGAGACTGAGACTGCCCGGGGCGCTGCCAGGCCTCCTCTCCTCTCATGCCCAGAGGAAATCATACGAATTAGATGATGCCAGCTAATTTTCTCTTTGTCTTGGTATTGGTGAGCCTGAGCACCATTACCAACAAGTAATGGTTGTCCTAGCAAGTCTGTCACCAAGGACCTCTGGAAGAGAGGGCTGTGGAGTTCAGAACATGGGGCTCACTGCTGCTGCACTCTTTGCTTTTAGGCCTTTTCAATAAACTAAGGAAATATTGTATTTTGGGGAAGAGAAAAAATATACCATCAGTTCATATTAATGTTTGTATTTTAAATATAAAATTAACTGATTAGATTTTTTTAAGGCTGAAAATCGTGGTTGCCAATGACATCACTTGCTCATTTGCTTTCAATATGCAAATAATGATTCAAAAATAATAATATTAGGGCTGGGGATGTGGCTCAAGCAGTAGCATGCTCGCCTGGCATGCATGTGGCCCGGGTTTGATTCTCAGCACCACATAAACAAAGATGTTGTGTCCGCCGAGAACTAAAAAATAAATATTAAAAAAAAAATTCTCTCTTTCTCTCTCTCTTTAAAAAAAAAAAATATATTAATGGCCATCACTGAGGCTCAAAGTACTAGGTGTGGTATGGGTCCCCGCCGTGGCTGTGATATAGGATCTGTCTCACTAGGGGCACAAAGCCAAAGCATTTCCCATTAGAGGAAGTCATTTCTCTTTGTCGTATGTCTTTTTTTT